CCTTGTCTGCTGGTTGGGGTGGGTGTGGTGGATCTGAACCAGGGGCCTACTGGCCTTGGGCTTCTGGTGTGATCTGTAACATTTAAAGTTTAGTGTCTGATTTTTATTTTTTTTTCCTTTTTTTTTCTGTTGTGAATTTAATACAATGCATTACCTCATCATTGGTGTTCCCAATTTGAGCTTCTTGCCCACCTTCTTGATCTCTCTTTGTGTCGTCTTGAGGTTCTGCTTGATCTCTCTCTGTGCCTTCTTGAGCTTTTTCTGTTACGTGATCCTCCTGCCCATCCAATTGAACTTCTTCATTTTTCTGAACTTGGTAGTCTCGTGCAATATCATTCACATCTGTCCAGTCTCTATCAGGTTCCTCTTGTGACAATCCTAGACTGAAAAATGGTATATCATTTAAAAAATTCCTTTTGTTTACTGCACGGACAATTTCATCAACCGCTTTCAAGAACTCAGGGTCACTCCAATAGGCGCCTTCTCGCTGGGTAAATGTCAGTTGTCCATCTTCCTGCACTTTGAATCTAAGCATCTGTCTAGCAGATTCAAACATTTGCTTGAATGTATCGTCCTCCAATACTACTGCATCAGCTCTGATATTCATAGTAAACTTTGTGCAATCGTCCTTGTGTTGCTTGTAATTTCATCAACAAACTCCTGTATATGCACCTGAAAGTTATGCTCAAGCAACGCTAAGTAAAGCACCAGCAAAAAAAAAAAAAAAAAAAACACTCCACAGAGTGCCTCACCCAATGAAGCACTGTAGTATAAACACACCAATATATACTGAAGTATGCACTAAATACTGCTAAAAAATACACTACTAGGATGCCTCATTAATCACACCAACTAATATCAAAATATTGTACACCAATAACAAAAAAACATTGCTCAGATCAATACCCTTTTAAAATGCACAACAGATAACACACAGAAATACACCATGAGTGTGTTTGTAGTGTTCTGTTTACCTGTAATCCATGGGGAAGTGGTGCGTTATCTTCACGTGCTGGTGGTTGGGGTTGTACATCAGATTGTCCTATTGGGGCGGGGGGAGGGGCGGGGGGTTCCTTTCATTGTGTGGTATGCTTGCTTTCGAGTGGCAAGGAATCATCAACACGCCCATATCCGAATCCTCCAAATTTGAGCTCATCATATTGTTGTTGACGGAGCAGCTTAAACGTCCAATTCTTCATGGGAGGGAAGCTTCTTGGGACAGTCCTCCGGTAGAGCACAACACGGTCAACATAGAATACCTGCATTTGGTTGTTTAGATTGTTAATAGATTGATGGTTAATTAATTAGAAGCATTTTTGGGGCTTATTTACCGTTAGGAAAACAATTGGGCCTCCATATCTTCCATCCGTGCTTTCTAGCCATGCTTGCTTGCTGGTGACGAGTGAGTTGATGAGCATTCTACACCAATTTAGTCTCTTGATGTTGCCTATGTTATGAAGGTTATCGATGTAGTTTTAGTTGACATAACCATTTACTTGTGGCTCAACTAACACACTCATAACAAGCAGTGCAAAATGCCTTTTGAACCAAGTGTCAGTAGCATTTAATGTCAGCATCTTTTCAGCCATAACGTGGGGGTGATGTGGCCATTATTCCTTCCAAAGATTTTTCTCCAGTCTGTCAGGAGATCAGATACTTCTTTGGCTGTCTTCTTGGTGATTTCTATGTCTGAAAGCGGTAGTCCCAAAGTGACATCAACATCCACTTCTGTGATTTGGAGTCTTTCATCAGTTGGTAGATTCAATGTGTTGCTCCTACTGTCATAGTTTTCAACTAGCCACATCCGCGACTTCCTTGGCAGGTGTGTGATTTTGAGATCAAGTATCCTTCCTAGCCCAATATCTTCTATGTTTCGACGCTGTTGGCGAGTCAGTGCTTTAATTGGTTTTGTTAGCTGTGTGGACAGGGGCCTTATCTTTAGGTCTGTTTCTTCATCTCCCCCTTCATCACCTGAGCTGTACTCAACTTGGTGTTGCTGCTGTGCATTTTGCTCTTCTATATCTCTTTCTATTCTGTCAAGGAATGACAGTGCTAGTTGCTTCCGTTGATATTTTGGCCTTGATGGTTCTCTTTGTTCTAATGCCTTTCTCTTGTTTTCTGCATGAAATAAGTGATATTAATCTAAACATGCTATATCTTCAGTGTTAAAAGATATGCTAATGCAGGGTAAAAATGCACTAATAACCCATATTCAAGATACATAGTCCAGAATACACCAATAGTAAATGAAATATACACTACGTTCACGCTGATAAGACCCCAACAACACAATATGAGATGTCATAGTCTAAAATACACAAAAAATACACCAATATTAGGTTAAGATACACCGATCATCCAAATAAAACACACACCAATGTTATTTGCCATATTCTAGTTACAGAGTCCAAAATACACCAATACTAAATGAAATATACACTACATTCACGCTGATAATGCCCAAACAACACAATATGTGATGTCATAGTCTGAAATGCACTAAAAATACACCAATATTATGTTAAGATACACCGATCACCCAAATAAAACAAAAAACAATGTTATTTGCCATATTCAAGTTACATAGTCCAGAATACGCGAATAATAAACGAAATATACACTACATTCACGCTGATAATGCCAATATGAGATGTCATAGTCTGAAATGCACTAAAAATACACCAATATTAGGTTAAGATGCACTGATCACCCAAATAAAACACAAAACAATGTTAGTTGTCATATTCAAGTTACATAGTCCAGAATACACGAATAATAAACGAAATATCAAATACAGTCATGTTGAAGTTGGTTTTTGTGTTTAGACTTTGAGTTCATACCCTTGGGTGCTGGTTGTTGCCCTTCGTCATTGGTTTTTTGCCCTTGTTCACCATTTTTGGGTTTTCGTAGTCGAACTGGCTTGTGGTGTAGGGTTCGTGCTTCTATGGCAACGTGGTGGTGTGTTCGACACTAGCTTCTTGTTTCTGCGACGAGGTGATCGTCGATGCAGTGGATCATCATTCGTGTAGCCTTCGTCGTTGTTGGGAGGAGTGAAGTTGTTCTCGTGCTTTGGAATTGTGAATACACGAATGGATTGACGTAACTTGGAAAAGGAGGAAGTTTTACTTTTGAATTAGAATTATTGGACAATAATTGGTTATCAGGAAGCCTAGCGCGCAGATGAAGAATGAATGAATATGGTGCGTTGATCTGCTTTAATGCAATGACCCTTATTTCACTCCATGACCGCACCTAATGCTACTGCTGCATGTGATCTCCCATATATATATATATATATATATATATATATATATATATATATATATATATATATATATATATATATATATATATATATATATATATATATATAGAGAGAGAGAGAGAGAGAGAGAGAGAGAGAGAGAGAGACAGAGAGAGAGGATGTGATCTTGTGCGAAATTGCTCTCAGGTGAAAGATGGGGTCAAATCAATGATTTTTTTTTTTTTTAAAATGTGAAAAAAATGTGTGCCCTCAAATGCATCCATCTTCTTCATGTTTACTCCAAAGATAACAACTCCACTATTTGTTATTATATTGCTATCATATTTTTTTTTTCTTTTGAATTAGATAATTGAAAACAACAAAAACTAGATAGGATCATTTTTGAGCTTGGGAACCAAAACTAAGAAAAAACCACTGTACTGTTGAGCGAAAAAAATTGTAAAAATAGCGCACCTTAAGAAGGAAGATAACGCACAGGAAAATAATGTACCTTAAGAAGGAAAATAATGTACCTTAAGAAGGAAAATAATGTACCTTAAGAAGGAAAACCATGCACCTTAAGAAGGAAAATAATGTACCTTAAGAAGGAAAACCACACACCTAAAGATTTAAATCAAACACCTTAAGAAGGAAAACTTATATATACAGAATCCTAATCATATGAGAACCACTCCCTAGGTGAGAACTTGTGACCAAATCCAAACAAAACTTACAAATAATAGCAGAGAATGAAATATTAATTATTGAGAGCAATAAAGCAAAGTACTTTAAAACGTGATAAACTATATTTATAAAAAATTAAACATAATTAATTTAATAAAATAGTTCGAATATAAAATACATTTTACATTACACATCTTCTCTATTGATGTCATATTTATAAATATTTTTTCTTTTAGTTATATTAATTTTAAGTTTTTTTTTCTAGATTAATTTGAATACAACGACGCACAATAGAACTTCTAAACTACATTGACTAGATAATTTATAAAAAAGTAAACTATCTTTTAAAACATTTTCATAACTAAATCATCACAAATTATATACTCCCTATTACATATACATAACTCATTATAAAGTTCACAAAATAACACATGTTATAAATATAAGTAGCAAATTACTCGAATAGAAATAAATTCAAAATTTGATATGAATCACAAATCAATCTATATTATAAATCTCACTATAATTATAAAAAGGTAAAAAAAAATATCTACAAAGTTACAAATTAAATAAAAAATACAATTAAAAATAAAAATAAATTCCATAAATTACAATTTTAATAATAATAATATTATTATTATTATTATTATATAATTCCACTAAATTCATCTTCTAAAGAGTATGGAAGAAAAATATAATGTAAATATATACATGAGGGTTCAACCAGTGACCTTTAACATAAGATCCACAAGACCTTCCAACTAAACTAACTCATACTCTAAGATTCTAAATGTATATTAAATGCTTATACCAAAGACCTATAGTATATGTATAAAAGGTGGGAGGTGGGTAGCAGGCTCCTTTCAAGCGTTGGCCCCGGGCAAGGTCCAGCCAGTCCTTGCCCAACCAAGCTAAGGAAACTAGTAAAATTTGTTGCATGTCAAACCTTAAATTTTAAATTCTTACGTAAAAAAGATAGAAATTTAGTTAAGGTGTGATTGCAATCCAATTACAACACAGCAGCAACATTGGCTGCATATATATATATATACTCCTCCTAAGCATTTAATTATCAGGAAATGGTTGAGTTGATCTTGTCTCCCACAACCCAGTATTGTTTGACAGCAAAAAGTACCTTTTCTGGGATCAAAGGGCCATCCTCATGATCAACGATTTTGGTGTTCCACCTCATTCCCTTCGCTATTCTTCTCACCTTGCTTAGCACATCCCCATGGTCTCGGAGAATAACTGCTCCTTCTGGTCTCACAATCCTGTCCATCTCTACTAGAATATCCTCATAGCTACACCTGCATGCATTCATCCATCATTCACAAATGAGTAGAGGGATCGGAGAAGCAGATAAGAGATTCAATTGTTATACCATGGACCAGGTAGGGTTCATATTACACTGTGAATCCTAATCCAAAAATTATGCGTTTGTAGTTAACACATTCTGTACTTGCCATTAACATTTTTTATACCCTTGTAAACAAATTTGAAGGCACAAATAACATGATAGTTATAGACATAATATGAAAACTACAGACACATAAATTGTTAACTGCAGACACATAAAGATGTTGGTTAACATGTTATGTCTCTGCGTATTCTGTACTTGCAGTTAACTGTTTATGTGTCTGTAATAATTACCATGTTATGTACCTTCAATTTGTTTACAGATACAGAAACAATTAACTGCAGATACAGAATGTGCCTACTACAGACACATAATTTGAAGGTTAATTTGAAACTAGAGTTCATAATGCAAGATAGACCCTGATCTGTGGTATAATTTGTCAAGAGAGATTAGTGTTGGCAACTAACTTGTCCTTGTATAAGCTGAAAAGTCCATTGGCGTGAATTAGGTCGTATGACCTCGGGTAGGTGGAGAAAGCTTCACACCTGTCAAAAAAGTCCAATAGAAACTACCAAACAAAACAGAAAAAAAAAAAAAAACAAAACCACACTGCACTTAGCATAACATTAAGGATGTTTTGTTTTGCAGAATTGAAGAAGTTACCAATCATGATAGATGCCAATCAAGCCACGTTCAAAGACAACGCCCAGAGTTTCAATCTTGGCTATGGTTGGCATCACATTCATGACCCAAAGTTTGGGAGATTCAAGGGCGGCCGCGAAGCTTCCCAGACCAGAATTCATGTCCATAACGTTCCGGTATCTCACTGTACCAATGAGTTTGTTAATCCTTTTGTACCATTTGACGTGCTTTTGCCACATCTTGTTGTCCTCCATGAATGACTCCACTGAGAGCTCAGGGATGGATCCACTTGCGATTCTTGGAGTAACAGCGTTCAGTCTCTCTGGAAATGGCTTCAGTAGTTCTCCACCTTCATCTAGGTTGGTAGATTCCAGGTACGAATTGACATTTACACATAGCTCCATCTTCTTGTTCCTAATATATATGAGGTAGTAATCAATCATCTATATTCTATTCATTAATCCTACATTTATTTATAGCAATTTTGATCACATCAGAATCCATTGTTGGGCGGAGACCGGTAAAAGGCCAAGTCCATCATTGGTGCAGCCTAAGAAATTGTTGGGCGGAGGCCGGTAAAGGGCCAAGTCCAGCACTTGCCTCTTGAAAATGTAATATAGGTCTATAAAGAAATAAAACTATTTATAAGGAAATAAAGTTGCGCTTTTACTACTAGCTATAGCGTTTAGCGTAAGTGGTAGCTTGATCCTAATAAAAGCGGGGGATGGGAATTGTTGGGCAGAGGTAAGTAAACGGCCAAATCCATCAATTGGTGACTAAGGGATGGTTGGACGGAGACTTGTGAAGGACAAAGTCCAGCACCCTGCCTCTTGAAATTATGATGACGGTTTATAAGGAAATAAAGTTGTACATTTACTTCTCTCAAAAGGTTGAATCCCCAACCCTAGCTCGACAGAGCATTTGGGAAGATCTAAATTACAGTGTTCCCAACCCCGACCAAATGCCATTGCGCACAAGGGACCTACCCACTTTGGGCATAATCCCCACACTGCCGCTGCCGAAATTCGAACATTGGTTTCTTCTCTCAAATACTGCCTACTGAATCAATGAGTAGGGATGGCAATGTGCCCCGTCCCCGATGGGGATCCCCGATCCCCGCCCCGACAGAGACGTGGATGGAAAAATTTTTCGGGGTACGGGGACGGAAACGGGGAATATGTGTGATTCCTGCCGAGGACGGGTCCCCGAATATATAAATAATATATATATATATATATATATATATATATATATATATATATATATATATATATATATATATATATATATAGAGTTTAGTATTTTAATTTTTGAATAGATTTTAAATTTTTTTACTGTTAAAAATTACAATTATTTAAAAATTTGACTAGGAATTGACGGAGAATGGGGAATCCCCGTCGCCGCCTAATTCTCCGCGGGGATGAGAATGGGGAATATTTTCAATTTCTCGCCAGGGATGGGGACGGGGACGGGGACGGGGATGAGGGCGGGGTTGCGGGGATGGGGACGGGGAGTACACTCCCCGCCCCCACTCCGCCCCGTTGTCATCCTTACCAGTGAGCTAAGCTCATACGGATAAGTTGCGCCCTTTACTACTAACTATAGCATAGTGATAAGCGCTTAATCCTAACAAATGGTATCGCTTAGATCCTAATATCATCCATGGACGGAATTAAGTGAATAAGAAACAACACAGATTTGTTGGTGGTTACCAAACATCATTTGCTGTGGTGGATGCACACTTAGGCACACGACATTCCTGTTCACAATATTCCTTTTTTGTTCCTTTTCTCCATATAGCAATCTCGTCCAGCTCGTGCTTCTTTTCCCAGCACAGGCATTTTGCAATGTCTTCTATGATCTTTTGTTCCTCCTCCAAGTCTTCTTTGGGACGTTGCCAGGCTTCATAATTATTCCTCCAATTGATGGGAGGCCCTGAGAGTATCCAGTACCCTCCTGGTCTCAGCACTCTATCAATTTCCATCATATAAACTCCACCTACAATAATCAAACACCTAAATATAATTAGAGGCAATAATATATAAGAGCTAGCTAGCTAAGCTAGTTTTAGTTCTCAAATATTACTAGTAGTGGTCGGAACATAGTTTCCAACTAGATTTAGACTATTTCCGATCACTTTGAGGTGGTCAGAAATTACTTGATTTCCAGCCGTGATTCTTACCGTTTGCACCCCATGGAATCAAACAACGCGAGCAATGAGCCATATCAAAGGCCCCAGATGGGTATGGCAGTTTTAAGGTTCCAAGAACACCAATAACTGCAGGCACACCTCTTTCCAGCGCGAACTGAACCTGAGCTTCGTGTGAGTCTCGTGGAGCAAATGACATGGCTATCACATTCTTCTTGAACAGGTAGGCGCCCCAACTTGCTACCTGAGAAGACAAACCATGTTCATCCGACCAGATCATATATATGACAATGCAAGCTGTTTGATATATATGCGTTGGGTGGAGCTGAGGTTGGTAAATGGTCAAGTCAATCAATTGGTGATGACTAGGGGATTGTTGGACGGAGGTCAGTGAAGGGCAAGTCTAGCACCTGCCTTTGGTTAATGTTATGGCTGTTTATAAGGAAATAACTACTCACTATAGCGTTTGGCGTAAGTGGTAAGAGCTTGATCTTAACAAGATTAAAAATTGTGATCGAAGTTAAGACGGGTAGGCATTAGGAGGGGAAATTGTCTTGAAAGAAATTGTTAGATGAAGGCCGGTAAAATGCAAAGTCAATCAATTGGTGGCTAGGGGGATTATTGGGAGGCCGGTGAATGGCCAAGGCCAGCACCCTGCCTTTTGAAAAGGTAATGACGGTATATAAGGAAATGAAGTTGTCTATAAGAAAATAAAGTTACACCTTTGCTACTAGCTATAACGTTTGGCATAAGTGGTAAGAGCTTGATCTTAAGAAGAGCAAAAACTGTGAAGTTAAGTTGGGAAGGCATTAGGAGGGGAAATTGTTAGATGAAGGCCGGTAAAAAGGCAAAATCCTTCAATTGGTGGTTAGGAGATTGTTGGGCTGAAGCCTGTGAATGGCCAAGTTTACCATACTGTATTTCGAAAAGGTGATGACGGTTTATAAGAAAATAAAATTGTTCATAAGGAAATAAAGTTACACATACAGTGTTTGGCCGAAATGCTAAGCGCTTGATCCTAACAGGTTCTGGGATGGGGGATTGCTAGGTGGAGACCGGTAAATGGCCAAATCCATCAATTACATAGTGACTAGGAAGATTGTTAATTGGACTGATGCAGGTAAAGGGTTAAGTCCAGCACCTTACCTCTCGAAAATGTGATGACCCTCAGTCTATAAGGAAATAAAGTTACACATTCACTACTAGCTATATTTTTTTGGCGTGTAAGTAATAAATGGTTGATCCTAACAATATGTGACAATGCAGGGCTCTTAATTAAGTCTTAACCACTCACCCCACATCCTGTATCCAATGCTGTTCTGACAATGCCATTGTCTATAGGAATCACAGAAGCAAGCTGTTTGATATAAGCATCTGCGCCCTGGGGAAACTGCGTTCCCCCACCCGGGAACCTCAACACATTCCCCTCATAATGCACCCAGTTCTGCACTGCCTTCTCCACAGTCAAGCTCTTATGCGGCGCATTCGCAAACGGGACATAGTCCCGGCTCTTCGGCCATGGAAACGGCGTCACATATCCTCTGGGAGCCGGGACCAGACACCGCAACTTCTCTTCCTCCGCGGGACAATGCCTCTCCCGGTAGACCATACTTTCCCGAGGGAAAGTCATGGCCAGCACTTGATCCTGACAAGGAGTGTAATCGATGTAGCGTTCACCACACGCCTCGAATTGCTTCACTTCCGCCTGGTACTCATCCTCCTCATCCCCGCTTTGATCATCCGTGGGGTGCGTCTCGATCTCGAGATTCTTAAGCACGTCGCAGTCTTCTGCCTTCTTCGTTATCTCAAGCGCTATGCTGTCACCCTTCCCGAAACCACTTCTTTGCCACACTGCCAGAAGGTAGAAGCAACAACACAGCCCAGCCACCACAAACAATGAACCAGAAGAGCTTCTGCCCCCTCTGTTGTCTCCTGGATTCCCTTTTGTCACCATGATCTATCAACCTCTAATTTCTCTTCTCACTCCACTTCTGAAATCCCAGAAGATAGGCAATAAACAATATAATGCAGCATGGAATTGAACATTATATTCTTAAGGATCACAAAAACAGGATGATAAAAAAGAGGATTTGGGATCATAAATAAGTACCAAGAATCAACTGTTTTTAGTGATCAATAAAATTTACGTAACAAAGAAAGCGAGTAAATTGAAAGAACCATTTCATAGAATAAATCGGAAGGGTTAATAATCGTGATTAAGAGAGAGGAAAGGAATCTCACAGATCTTTATTTGTTCAATGGGTTCCAGGTTTTTTGTCAGCAAGGAATTAGAACTAAAGAAAATAAAGAAAACTAAAATTCTTTCCAAAAAAAAAAATAATAATAATAAAAAATAAAATGAAACCTTGGCTTTGTTCGAAGAGGGAAATGATGATGGATTGAAGAGGATGACTTTAGTTCGGTTTTTTTTGTTGGCGCGGAAACTGGGGAGAAGTCTTGTCTTGCAGTTGGGATATTGAAAAAAATAGCGTTGAAAAATTCAAAGTTTAATTTACAGAGTCAATTCCAATGTTGTTTTATGTTACGGGGTTTAATTCTTCCTTGAAGGTCGAATCCCAATTTCAAGAGCCCTCACAAAGTATCTGGGGATATAAATTTATGGTAATTCAGCTGAATCATCTGAAGGTTGAATTTTCAACCCTAATGGTTCCACACTCCGGCCCGACAGAGCATGAGGTTATTCTTCTCAAACTTTATCCCTATGACCAACTGAGCTGCCCATGCGGGAATGTTACAGGATTTTATTAACATGGGGTTTGGTTCATAGAATTTGAGATTATCTTGAGGGGGCGTTTGGTTCACGAAATCTTGAATTACCCTGGTAATTTGAGAAAGGTAATCTTAGATTACCATGTTTGGTTGAGGTCATCTGCGAGGGAAGGTATGTAATGCAACATTACTGCCAATTCAAAAATATGGTAATGTTGGAGGTAATCTGATTATCGAATTTTTATTAGGTAATGTGATATTACTTTTCAATATTTCAAAATTGCCCTTGTTTATTCTTCTTTTATTCACAAGATTCATCAGACTCATCAGACGAGAGACGCTCCATCAAACAAGAGACGCTCCACCAAGCTGCGAAACTCCATCCTATTGCATCGCTTCTCCATTTTTCTCTTCATTGAAGGTCTTCAAAGGTACGTTTCTTTTTTTTTTTTTTTTTTTTTTTTCTTGTAATCTAAAGATTAATTTGTTCTGTGTTTTTCATATATTTGTGCGTATGAACTATTTTTCTTCTATCAATTTATGTATTTGCAAACCCTAGACTTTTTGAAAATCAATTGTTGATCTACCCTAGATATTCGAATAGCTTTGCTTACTCATGTAAAATTTGCTCCTTAGCTTTCTTCTTCGCTTAGTGCAATCTGATGTCCATTCATAGTGTTTTTTTTTTTAAAAGAAAACATGATATGTATTTATTATTGCAAAAAGATACAAAATTCAGGACCAAATTATGGTCTACAACACACAAGAGCCATACGGCTTCCTCACCAAATGCCAACTAAATGCTACAACCATCTGCCTAATCATGACTGTAGCAGTATATATATGCTTGTAGCCTTTATTAATTTGTATAAAATATATAGTTGCAGCAGTGTATATATGGTTGTAGCCTTTATCATGATTGCATCAATGTATATATAGTTGCAAAGCAGTGTGAAAAGAATGATTGCAGCAATGTGTGCGTGTATATATATATATATATATATATATATATATATATATATATATATATATATAAAATTAGTTATTTGTCATTTTTTGTTGCAAATCAGTGTGGAAAGAATGATTGCAGCAGTGTATATAATTTGTTTCATATTCTCACAATTTTTTTTTTTTTGCAACTAATATAATTAGTTATGTCATTATTGGGTTAATTTATTTTAATAATACTGTTTTTATAGGGTGTTATGGCACGATTGTCGCTAAGACAGAAGAATATCCTCATTTTGCAACTACAAATGATGGACAACCTTTTTAATATTCTTCTATTCCTTGCTTTGGCTTTACTAGTTAGGAGAAGGACAAGAAGGTTTAAAAAAACCATTACATATGTTCATCAAAGAACATATATATAGACAAAATATTAGCTCTTTAAATTTAAATAGAATGGGCGTTGACATTGATGTCCAGTGTGTTGAAAATTACAGAATGGATAGAAGAGCTTTAACAAAATTATGTTATTTGTTAAAGACTCATGGCAAGTTGAAAGATAATAGGAATATGACAGTACATGAGATGGTAATATCCTTTCTTCATATAATCGGATACAACATTAAGAATAGAGTACTCAAACGCCAAATAGCAAGGTCTGGTGAGACTGTTAGCAGGCAATTTCATGCTGTTTTGAACTCTGTTTTAAAGCTACACAACATAATGTTAAGAAAGCCTGAGCCTATACCTGATAATTCAACGGATGATAGGTGGAAGTGGATACCGACCTTTGGGAGCATGCCTAATGTTTTCCCTCTCCTCCTCTGTGAACAAATGGGTAAAGTAAGCCTAGATGTGATTTTGCAACTATTCCTCCTACGTGATCTAGTTGCCCTCCATGTCTTTTGGCGCCCTTATTTTCTTCTAGCACTTTCTAACCATCGTCGTTGCATGATAGAAATGAGTGTTCCTGTTCCCTAATAAGATGATCCACTCTTCACGGGAGCGTTGAAACCACATCATCTCTTCTTGGTGAAGGATTTCCTCGAGTTCTTCTCTTAGCTTTCGCTCAGTTTAAGTAGCCATGCATGTTACTTTTGCTCCTTGTAAACATATTATGTGTCTTTAATTAACACATTATGTACCTGTAGTTAACAATTTATGCGTTTGTAGTTAGCATTTGATGTGTCTATAGTTAACATGTTATGTAACATCAATTTATTTACTGGTACATAAATGGTTAACTATAAGTACAGAATAGGGCTAATGCGGACACATAATCTGAAGGCTATTATGGACTAGGGTCCACAATATAAGGTAGACCCTAGTCTATGGTATAATTTGCTAGTATTTATTAAACATGAATCACATGATTAGGAATCGAGACTAGGTTGCTGCGCTAGGCCCAAGAAGCAAAGGTGCGGAAGTTAATTACACCCTGGAAATTTTTGGAGCCCATATGCAATGCTTGGGCCTATGTAAGAAGGGAAGAGAGTTGGGGGGGAATTTGTGCTAAGGATATAAGAGCAAAGGCCGAACAGATAAGGTATAAAGTGAAGAAAGGATAAAGTTTGGAGGCTGATACTCAATTTGCAACTATACAAATTCAATCAAGCAAGCACACTTATTGTTTTTGAGTATAGAGGATTGAGTAACGAGTATCGTATCCTACAGGGACTATAAGTATTAGTACACTATATGTTCTTCTATTATGTAGCCTAAAGAAATTGTGTAAAAGAGCTATCAGAAAGTAAAAGTAAAAGAATAAAACAATAAATAAAACAAGCAAATATGAGGGAATCAACTAGTGAGAAAATGGTATTTGGATCTATTGATACCCTAGGATATCATTGATCATAAATATGCATGTCAATAACAATTGTTTATTTATTTCAAAGACCGCAAGACCTCCTCTTTATTGCTAATATCTTTCAGAAGAATATTATCAACTAATATGAAGTTGATTAATTAGAATCCCTTCTAAATAAATATCTTCTTAAGGATTGCATTAACAATTTATGAGTTCTACTAAAGCATTTGACTCGAGAGGATCAATATCATCCTACATCTAGGGTTGCATTCCACTCCTTCCAATTGTGTGTGATCTACATTAACTAAGGATATCTATATCACAAAATTCATGCACCAATCAAGAATCCAATAACTCATCAATTATTGATTTAAGAACACTAAAGAAAAAAAATTGGATCATGATCGTGTCCTAGGCCGTGTCATTTGGTGCATCGAACTTCGTGCTCAATATTAGACTTGTTTTGTTTGAATCTTAGAAAACTCAAAACATGAAAGTTCTAAGGATTTTTCTAAGCTTTTCATAAACACATATATCACCTTGATTGGACTTTATAAGAGAGAGATATGATTAACACACTATTGGTGTGTTGCAAGACCGTCCAAGTGCGTCAGGTTCTTCCAATTTTTTGGCATTAATTCAAATTGATTAAAAATCTTAAAATTAAAAACAAAATCAAAAGACTTATGACAGCAGGCATGACGACGGTATGCTCAAACATTACATATTGTCTACCAATAATTTTGATTTTGAATAATCTCAGAACACACTTCCACAAATTAAAGCATACATACAAGTGTCAATTCAATATCACGAGTAAATCATATATTTTACTCAGAGTGCAATCGAATTAATTATATCCTAATAGGAATTCCATAATAGCTTCATTAATTAATTATTTATTAATTTCATTAGCTAATTATTTACACACACTTTGCTAGCACTTATATCATGTGATTTGTGAAAATAGTATAAAAAAAAAAGTGTTAAATTCGCTTGCAAACTTTTCTGTAATTAGATTACTGAATTAAAAATCATGTGCAATGGACCATCATAATAGAAAAAAATGTGCAATTTTATTTCTTACGGGTTACTATATGGTTTCAAGCAAAAATTGCTTAATTAGCCATCAGCCCCTTCCTATGTTGCACGAAGGTCGTGTAAGGAATAGAAAGGAGAGTTAGCTGTCTCTTCTCCTTCTTGTAACGAAGGAGGTAGACATGGTGGCCAATTCCTTCAAAATTTAAATTACTTGTAAATTAATAATTAGGAGTTTAATAATAATATTCAAACTAGAAAACATTACGTATGTATATATAAAAAAGATCATCAAGTCATCAAATAAATTACGTATTTAAAAATTAAAATCAAGTTAATCAATATAAATATCCACCATCCGCTTGGTTTGCATATCCTATGAAAACCACCTGATGAAGTTCTGACTAGGACTTATTGAGGATGATAGT